AGGAAAGCGAATCATACTTCCTTGCGAAACTCAGTGGTGCAGTAACAGAGATTCTTTCCGCTGTTGCCTTGATAACTTCTCAATGATGCGTACTATTGTAACAAATGGAACTATCGTTCTCAAACCGGACAGAGCTGAATTATTATTCGACTCCAACTTTGAAAGTCAACTTCAAGATCATATTTCGATTTTTGATCCCATCTGTGAAATCGTTAATAAGTGCCAACGTTCAGAGTTCAGTGTTGCTGAGGCATGTGAGAGATGGTTCGCTCTGAATATTCCAACAAATAATAAAAATCATGAGAAAATTGTGCAAGCTCGAATAGATAAAGTCATACGACCTGCGATGCTTGTTGCCAATTATTTACATCCCTCATACAGAGGGCATCAGTTCATTCACATAGAGAAATATAAATCTGCCGTCCACAGTTTTCTCAAGGAAGAACTAAGTATTGAGAATTTCAATGATGATCCGCATTTGAAAGCTTTTGCAGATAATGAAGGGATTTTTGCTAGATTGAATGGAAAAAAAATAACGTCACCTCATCTGTACTGGTTCATGGCTGAGAAAATGCATCCAGGCTTAGCAAAGTTAGCGCAAAAACTACTCAAAATTCCAGCATCTTCTGCACAAATTGAACGATTGTTTTCTAATTGGTCATTCGTACATTCCGATTTAAGGAATCGATTAACTGCTGAAAAATCTCAAAAACTTATTGAAATTTTTTTTTTTTGGAAGATGAAAAATAAATCGGATGATGATTGGATGTCACAGTTTGAATACTGATAATCTGTCAGTGACAGATAATAACAAGATTTAGAATAGGTAGATATAACAATTTAATTTAGCACAAATGTATAACAGCCTTTTGGATATCATGGATATAAAATGGATATAATAATCACGATTCTCAATGCTATATTCCACTCAATCATGTTAACAATAGTCTTGCATTTAGTCGCAGGATTTGTATATCATTTTAAATTAAAATTTTTAATATATCAAAATTTAAGTATCTACATATTCATTTATGAATATTTTTAGATATTTTATTTTTCAATCGATTACGCAGAGCTTTTTGATGCTGACTCGAATATTATACTATAGATGAATTCTCTGAGACGATGACTTAACAATAAAAAGTACTCAATGGCTGAAGACCAAATTTCTTACGTATCACAGACTGCACTTATGTGCTGAGGTTCATTATATTTGATCAACAAATATTGACGACGAATAATATGTATTAATATTTACGACGAATCGTCTGCGACGATGATTTAGCAATAAAAAGAAAATTCTAATATTTATCACTGGAATGTTCGTCTTGAAATTTCAATTTATGATACATTTCTACTCGTTTTTCATAATCATCAATATTCAAATTACTACGACAGACTAGTAAGAGTGTTTCTTTGTATACTGACGCTGGTATTTGAATTAATTTACAAGCGAATTGAGTAAGCAAAGGATATCTTGTTTTCGCAAAACTCCAAAATTTTTCAGCACTTTTAATTTCTTTCGACATTAACTTTCCAAAGAGCCCCTTCTTTCGCTCAAATTCGTAGTAATCATTGAGAGCCTTTTGATCCAACGCGTCTATTAAATACTCAACGACTACTTCCATACGTATAGAATTGTTCTCGAAACGTTTTCCTCTGTACATAAGATGTAGAAAATTGGCCGTCAATAAAATGGGTGAAAGAATATGATCAATCTCTTTCTTTAGAATGCCTTCAGAATGATTTTCCCCTATTGTTTCAAATCTTAACCATTCTTCAGCAGCATCGGCTATTGTAGTCAGAGGCAGCCTGCCATCTTTCGCACTCGGCAGCATTTGTCCAATCTTCTTTGGGGGTTGGAAGATTGTTCGGATGTTGTTTTTGCCGAGTACTCGGCTGATGCGTTCAGTGGTGCCTCTCAGGTAGGGGAGGAGGGCCATGAGAGCTTGCTCTGTAGCTTTCGCTTGACCTTTCAACTAGCCTTAAGTAGCCTTGTGGAGGATGTTGGACAACTGCCTCCGGATCTCGTCACAGGTCTCCTGAGGAAGATGGTAGATCGCTATTTCGATCCGACAAATAATTTCCTCAGTAGAGATCTTTTTGGGGGCAACATTTTTTTAATTGTTCAGCTGATCAATTAAAACATGATTGGCTGACCCCCCCCCTCCCTTCCCCTACTCCCAGCATCACAGGGGAAGGCATAAAAGGACTACCCTCAGACATCGGAACTCACAGCCCTGAAGATGCAGACTGCAATGTTTGCGAAACGTCGGCGCTATGCTGAAACCAAACGCAGCATCCATCCGGAAGCCAATAATGTCATTCATCATGACCGCGAAAGCCTTAAAACTAACTTGGCAAAATGTTCTGAATTGATTGAATAATGGCTTAAAGAATTTGTTTGGATGTCCCTTTGATCGAGTTCGAAAATGAAAGCGATAGCAATAATCGTTATTTTAATTTATTCGCAAATTTTTAAACATTTTGTATTTTTTGAAAATCAGAATTGTGGGGATATCATTGAATATCATGCTTCAAATGAATCCAATCATCGCATGAAATATTTGTTTTAATGCCATCAAGTCGAAGTTAAAAAATGATTCCGATACATTGGTTGATTTGATTTTTATGATGAATGTTGGAAATTTGGAATTTTTCGTGAATTTCCCTGAAAGTGAGCTTTCTGATGGTTTCTTCAAATGTGATGTTTCAAATTCATTCAAGTATGTGTAAATGAAATTTTTCTATTAACATTTTGTCGAAGGGCTGAGGGGAGAGATAGAACTATAAAAAAGACAGTCGATTTTATAGAAGGAAAGGGATAATAAGAACAATGATGCTAATAACATTTAACTGAGTTGATAATCTGACAAAATTGGGTAAAAGAAAATTATATTCAATTTAACAAAATGAAATAAACAATGTATTATATACGATAGAAGGCAAAGATGTGCAAAATAACCATTTAGAAACATATTGCTAATTTATTAGCAAAAATAACTACATTATATGCAACTGCTCGCTCCACTCGCCAACCCGGAGGACTTCGCCCCCCCCCCTCCCCCCCCCACCGTTTGACCGAGTGGGTCCGACCGTGAGTGTTTTTTCCACAACTGCCTTCACCGAACTTCACTGTAGAATATCCCCTCATTATGGACACCTCTTAATATATGAGGTATTCCAGGCCAAATGAGTCAACCGTTGACCCTCACCCTTTTGGAAATTGATGGCGATTTTTTCTACGAATGGGGAGGTTGAAAACTATCTCTCGAATTTTTTCAAAATTTTTCGACAGTCCTGTTTGGAGATATGATTTTCTTGTTTTTTCCGATTTTTTTTCAGTAACTTGAGTTCTATCCATCCAATTTTGATTTATTAAACGTCAAATTTTTTCATTTTTTACTCCCTATAAGAATATTTTCAATAAATTTTTTTTTTCGATATTTAGATGCTCATAATAACGAATTTTCTAAAAAAAGATGAAATAGTTGAATTTTGCAAATTATGTAACTTTTAATTTGTTTCATTTTTTTCAGTAGTTCTAATAATCAAAACAAGTATTTTGAGCCATCATACAAGTTGGGGATCCTCCTGGATCTATTTTATTTTCAATTTTCTCTCTTCGAAAGTCCGCAAATTTGGTCAAAACACCCCAAATTGCCGTTTGACTTTGATTATAGACAGTATGAAGTGAATTGGACTGTATATCTATATATTACATATTTTTTCTATATTTTATCGAAATCTTTTTGGGGTGTTTTGACCAAATTTGCGAAATTTTGAAAAGAAAAAATTAAAAATAAAATAGATCCAGGCGGATGCCCAACTTGAATGACGGCTTCAAATACTTGTTTTGACTATAAGAATTACTGAAAAAAAATGACAATTTTCAAAATTCAACTCTTTCAACTTTTTTTTTTTAGAAAAGTCGTTATTATGAGCATCTAAAGATCGAAAAAAATTTTTTACTAAAAACATTCTTATAGGCAGTGAAAAATGTAAAATTTTGACTCTTAATAAATCAAAATCGGATGGATAGAACTCGAGTTATTGAAGAAAAACGGAAAAACGAGAAAAAAATCATATCTCCAAACTGGGCTGCCAAAAAATTCTGAAAAAATTTGAGAGATAGTTTTTCAAGCCCCCCTCTCCCAATCGTAGAAAAAATCGCCATTAATTTTCAAGAGGGTGAGGGTCAACGGTTGAGTCATTTGGCGTGTAATACCTCATATAGGTCTCTCCCTCCGCCCTTTTCTCGCTGTGTATGTGATTGGAAAAGTTCGAGGACTTAGCATTTTCATTTTTTTTCAATAATAATAATAATAACACTCGGATAAGCTTCACTTTCTTTCAGATTCCTGTTTTCGCTTCATTAGGCCTTTTATTTCTATTCCTACTCAACAATGACAGACCTTGGTACAGTTTTCTTTATGTGCATGTACTGTAAATTCTCCTATTTAATTACTTTTCAGATAATTATACAGGATTTTTTTTGCACTATTATAACCACCACAAATGACAAGTTTTACCGTTAACTATTTTTCGTAAAATGAAGTTGACATTGATAGAGATATTTTTTTGTACACTCGAATATGAAAGTACGAATTCATCGGTTCAATTGCCTTGAATTGAAGGGAAGAAGTCCCAAAAATAACCAGCATTTTTTCTATTATATATATGAGGATATTGGGGGGAATATTTGTAAAAGTTGTAGCTGAGAGTGCCTCCTAAGTGGAATCGAATTTCAGATGAAAAAAAAGCAGAACTTCGAAAATGTTTTGGAGCAATACTTCATATACAGATTTTGGTGGAATCGCTGGACCCCCCCCGTGGACACCCTCCCCATATGAGCACTTCCCATGTTACAACGTCCCCGGAATTTCCCCCCCCCCCCCCTTAATTTTTTTTTATTATATACACAGATAGAAGAGCAATTTCCCACTTGTTTTATTTATAAATTATTCAAATTATCCCAAATTTATAATAAAAATTTTCAGATACGTTTCTAGAGGTGGCTTAAGAGCTGGTGAGGACCCCTACGCCAGGAACAAATTCAATCAGGAGGCGTCGGATGGTCTACCAAGCAACCGAGATATTCCAGACACCCGAAGTGCAATGTAAGTAACTTCATGTCAATTGTTTCACCGAGTAAAATTGATAGAAACGTCAAGACCCTGGCTATTTCTCGAGAAATAAATATAATGGAATTAACGGATACACGGGGGAGTCGAAATGTCGATATCAGACGCAAGCCTTGGAAAAACATCAGATCTATCAATCCGTTTATGTGTTATTTCCGGAAATATCAGAAAATACTGACAGGATGTCTGTCTAACAGAACTATCGCCCTGATTGCCTCACATATTTGGGAGGAAATGGAGATGTCAGAGAGAATTGTTTATGTCAGAATTGCGGCTAGAGAAGCTCGAAGGAGGAGACACATTGCGGTGATGAAGAAAGTTGGGATGAATTTGTGATTCTTATTCTTTTATTTTTGGGTGAATTAGAGGGATCGTCAGTATTTCATTTCTTGTTGTATTTATTTAAATAGTTTGGGGGATTGATGAATGAATAGTTCAGGAAATTTCGGGTTAAAACATCAGTATGACAACCTTTTTATCTCCAATAGTTTTGGAAAAAAACCCATAAAACAGTTTTTTTGCTCAATTTTTACTTTTGAAATTCTAGAGGAACTATTGGAGATAAAAAATCGTCATCTTGAGTTTTTCAGCTTGAATTTCCTGGGCTATCGACTGGGGTCAAAAGGAACCCCAGGTCATCAATACATCTCAACATCTTGTTTTCCGAAACTTGGAAATTTCACGATAACATGCATTATGAATTGTTTGAAAAATTGACAAAAATTATTTATATTTTGAAATTTGTATTTTCCATGTGAATAAGCCATCATTGATCCATCTCATTCAGTATTAAGAGCCTAATAACAAGTTTGATTGTCCAACCATTTTCCCCTCGATTAAAAACATGGAAAGCTGTCTGGAGTCATGAAGAGACATTACGAGTGTCGTTTTTATTGCTCAAGGTTTGGCTGTACGATCACGTAGCGAGCAGCGTAGCAGGGGCTTCAAGTAGGCAATACCATTAAGCAGGGGGACTACCCCTTAAACTTCACAAACTCAATCCCATTGCTTCAGCTCCACATACATATAGAAAGGAGAAAAAGAGAGAGAACAGAGGGGGATTCTTATTTCAGTCGTGACAGCCCTTGAGCCTTTTACCCGCCCTTTATCTCGAGCCTGACTCCTCCAACGAGTTTTCCCACCATTCTCGTGCTCTCTTGATGGTGGTGTCTCCATGCTGGACGGTGAAGGATTCAATTTTTGTGCGAATTTCAACTGTAGTACTTTGCAAATTAAAAGACCTTGTAATTTTGAGGAAACAATCGATGGAATAAATGACTTTGAGGTGCAATCATGAGTTGAAATTTCGTGGACAGTTGACTAGCAATTTTCAGAAGAGTGACATTGAACTCGATTTACGGAGAAAACAATGCTGGAGTTTCAGATGTCACTGAAAATTAAATTCCGAATTTTTGAGCAGCAGAAAGACGAGAATGTTTTAACTCACGCAAATTACATAAAAATAATCTGATAAAATTTTTGATGGCAGTGGATATTTGGAGCAGGATAAATAAATATGTGTGGATAGTATATTGAGTAGACGCAATGAGAGAGTATTTATTTTTACACGAGGTTAGGTTAGGATCTTACATTTACATATACATAGAAAACTTCTTCATCTATTCAATCTATACTTGTGTGAGTGATAACGAGTATAAATGACGATTACAGGATATTGCCAACAATTTTTAGTCTCCAATTCTCAATTTCTGTCATTTATTCTATTCATTCTATCAAAAGACAAGGATAGAAATCGAATTTATGGCTGTTCTTCCATTATTCGAAGAATTATATCGATTTTAGAACTGTCGGAAGAAATTGAAAAAAAATTTTTTTTTAATTTCATCCCGCCTACGTTTTTTTACATTTTTTTTATTTTGTCTCGTTAAAATTAGATCATAAAAATTCCAAAATATTCATATCCCGCCCATATTCGAAGAAGACACAGTGATTCCCATTTTCCACCGATATATAGATCTGAAGACAAACAAGTTTTCTTCATTTTTTAGCCGATCATCCCTTTTTAAAAATTTTTAGTCTCCAATTCGTGATTTTTGTAATTCATTGGCATTTATGTCATTCTTTCGAATCGAATTTATTGATTTAAAAAATCGATAAATTCGATTCGAATTGAATTTTATCGACTTTAAAAATTTTCAGGAATACATGGAGAAATTTTCATATTACCCAAATGAGGTTTCGAATGACTTTCGTTTTGTGTATTTGTTTGGATCACAAAAAAAAACTTTTTATTAATCTTTAACATAATTCCTCTTCATTCAATATTGTAACATGTGAATTGAGGAAAAAATATATATATTTAATAAAAATATAAATAGATAAAATTAAGTTAATCTAATTGTGAAGACGGAAATGAAAGTAAAATAAAATAAAGTAGAATAGTATAAATTAATCTAGATTTCAATCAATTGAAAGCTCAAGAATAATAGTTGAGTTGATAGTTCAGTTTATAATTACTTCAATTATTAATTGGTCATTTTAGTGAGTGATTTATATCATCAAAAATTGGTGATAGATTCTTAAAAAAAATTAATGACTTATTCCTTGAAATAAAAACTTTTTTTCTCTGTTAAGCAGATCGATAGAATTTTTCATATATTTTTTTAAACAGCTTTTAATACTCAAAAAATTCCATAATTACTGCCGCAAGGCCTAATATTGATTCCATTTCATGAAAGACTATTCTCTTCATGTAATATCACCCGCAAGAAAAATTCTAAACCTGTCGAACGTAGGTCATACCATCACAGTCCTATTTCTAAGGCTATTGCATCAACGCTCCAGGAGACGGATGTTCGATATTGTGTGTTACCCATGGAGTTCACCCCAGTAAACCATGAATATTCCGGATGAAAAGAGATCTGATGAAGCGTCTGGAACTCAATTCATCGCAGATGTCATAAAACTCATGTGTGCGACGGTAATTGGTATACATCGATGTCACCATCGTCAGGGCATTCACCGAGGAAGATCCGATGCATCGAGATACGTGGCAGCGTATCGGCCAAGAAAAGTTTTGACTCCGTTTGTACAAAACACNAAAACATCAGGCCGATCGCTGCCGTGTATCTATACACGAAGCAACTACCCCCTCCACTACCTCCCAATCATATCCATTAAATAAAATACAAACGTGACGAGCTACATGAAAAATACTCTTAGTTACATTATATAAATTGGCCACAAGCTTCTCATTGATGTAACTATTTTTTTGTTCGAAGCAATGTTTAAAAAAATACGCGCATAGCAACGGGGTCATATGCACATTCTCGCATTTCACATCAACTCCTATCATTTTTTTGTTACGGAGTTGGTACCAATGCAATACAACCACACGCACCAAGGAGGGAAGGCCGGGCATTTACAAATTGAATATGGTGCACGAATGATGAATTCCACAGATATTTTTCAATCGAGTTTCGTGCACAAATGAATTCTCGAAGAAGCAAATTCAGTCGGAAAATCTTGAATAAATAATTAAAAGTCGGTGCAAATAACGACTGTGGAATAGAACTATTTGTTTTACTTCGATTGTTAATTGGAAAGATGATTTATCGTGTGAAAAATAAATGAGCCGAATTGAATTGAAAATGAAAAAATTTACAGGATATAAAAACGATTCCTTGTTTATTTTGAAAAAAATAATGAAATCTCCCTAAAAAAACAAAAACACATGTTTTTGTAAAAAAACTGCGCCAAGAAAAAGTTTTGTTTGGTTCTTACTGGGAAGTAGAAATTTTTGAAAAATACAAAGAAATGAAAAAGAAAGCCAAGTCAGCAATGTCGAATAAACGAAAATAATGCACAATCAGATTTCTATAAGAGAAATAGTTTCAAATCGAATGAGGATTTTAAAAAAATTCTTGATGAAATAAAAAATTAGTAGAAGGAGGACCAACGTTCTTGGCGCGGAGTTTTTCAACTCATTGTCTAGTATCAATCTAATTCTCCATCTTCTGATCCGCGCCAAGGACGTTGGTCCTCCTTCTACTAATTTTTTATTTCATCAAGAATTTTTTTAAAATCCTCATTCGATTTGAAACTATTTCTCTTATAGAAATCTGATTGTGCATTATTTTCGTTTATTCGACATTGCTGACTTGGCTTTCTTTTTCATTTCTTTGTATTTTTCAAAAATTTCTACTTCCTAGTAAGAACCAAACAAAACTTTTTCTTGGCGCAGTTTTTTTTACAAAAACATGTGTTTTTGTTTTTTTAGGGATTGAATATTTAATCCCGAAAACGTGTGTTCTAGAATTTTCCATGAAGCGTTGAGTTTCACTTCTCCGGATGATGTTGGCGGAGCCCAAGTATAGGTTATCAAAATGCGATCCTGAGAAGAGTTCAGGACATTGAAACTTGGTGTACAAGCCGAAAATGTTATTCCATCTAGTTCTCTCGTGTTGCATTAAACATACAAATGTGCAGCGTGGGTCTAGGAAGAAAACATGTCAACTGCTGGGGGTGAGAATTTTCAGGTGGAAATGTGCGTTTTGTATTTATCAGGTACCTCACAACTCCAAGGTTGAGTTATTTCCTTATTTTAACGGTTGTCAAATTATCTAGTGTCGTGGGAATTAATAAATAAACATATGTCGTCTGAATATTACTTTTTTTTTCATTCTGAAAACATTCAATTGTTTTGACTGTGGAACATGCAAACACCCATTGTTGAAAAATTTTAACTAAAATTTCCACTACACTCCACTGGAAATTTTTCATGAGATTATAGTTCCTCTGAAGTTCTGAGGAATTTTGTAATTGAAAATTAACAAGTTTATAGAGTAGCTAATGAAAACTGTAAATTTAAGTTCAATTATTCCCGGAAAATTAATAGAAACTATTGGAGTCGATTGTTGGTCGCTCGCTGCGCTCGCCCGCATTGCGGGTGGGTTTAGTATGGGTATGTTGAAGTGAGTGTGATCTGTAGAGACGCACAAAGAACTTTGCGATTCATCCACCCTTATCACAGAATTTGAACGCAACCATGGTCCGTTAATTTAATGGAGAATTGAAAAATTTATCCTTTTTCGATTATTACCCTGTGTGATAGGAGAAATAGATTCCACATGTTTTATGGCTAATATAAAGGGAAAACACATGTTATTACTGAACTTATTCATGATGTTGAGGTTTAACTGTGCCCACTTATTTTGATATTCTACAATTTGTAATTACTGACCTAAGTATCCATTCTTAGGAAAATCTTCTAATCTTCTCTCTACTAATATTCTTGCAATATGTTGGCGCATTATGCCCACATTATAATTTCTTTGCTCACTTGGTTTGAGTAGGACATTTTGTACCAATGACTGCAAAAATTGGTTTGCGGTAGCTGAAATAGGATTCATATCACTCAAAATTGCAAAAAAATTACGTCTATTTGAGTATTTGAATTTGTGGTTATACTGTCATTTGGTAATTTTGTTGTCAACTTATGCTGATTCATATGATTAATCAAATAATTATGACTTTTTTCATCACAGTTCAAAATGTTGTAATTGAAGTCCACTACACGGAGCGAATACAAAATGAAACGTTACAATGTGAACATAGTAATCGAGCACCATACCAAAACAATTTTAAAGTTTGATTTATCTTAGCCAAATTTTTACTCGTGATAAATTAAATTTTACTTTTATTCTGCCACTTTCTACTATGCCGACTCGTAATTTTTACTATACAGCAAATTTTGAGTGTGGCGGGTATGGTCCTCGATTACTATGTTCACATAGCTAAAAATGATAATATATTTTTTCCGTGTATTTAAATAATTTTGCTGTCGGTTGGGACTTTGTTCATTAAACGTTTCAAAATATCTCCGAACATTATTGTTGCTTTCGGGGATTTGTAACCGCTTATTATATAATAATTTTTAACTCGATATGTGAATAATTTCACGTGTGCTGTCGAATTCCACTCGTATTCAACTGATACAATTTCTCTTTAATGCCTAAAGGAGGTTAGGCGGTGTATGAGGTGAATTTAAGAATGAATTTCTGTGGTTCCCGGTAGCTTAGTCATACCCTTCTGCTACACAATGGCGAAAAACAAACGTAAAGGTGTGAACCTAAACAACTCCGATTCCTCCACGGAAAGTAGAGCCCACAAAGTGAAGAAGCCAAACAACTCCCAGAAACCACAAACAAGGCCAAAAAACCCGTCTGGTACTTCAACCAAAGTGAATATACAGGTGATACCACCAGGAATGGTCCCCCCAGCTATACTGGAAAAACTAAAAGCTACGATACCGACAAACTCATCTTCAGGAAACAGTACTCCTTCCAACAACTCAACGTTCCAGAGTCCTCCTGAGCAAATGACGATGGACTACCCTCCCCCACGGACTGGGTCTACCAGCACGAGAAACTCTCCTGGACCTGGCAACCTGAACGGCGTAAAGGTAAACTCTCCAAATGATAAAATACCACCGATCATCCTTAAGGTCAAAGACCTGAACATTAAAACAGTTATTTCATTACTGCAAGAGAAGGCTCTAGTCCCATTCAAACTAAAAAATTCGGGTGAAAATACCATTATCCACCTTAACTCAAGAGTAGACCATCAACAAATTGTTGAGGCATTGACGCCAATCGTGACGCCAATGGTTACGAATTCCATACTTATGGATACAAAAGGGACAGATTGAAACGCTACGTCATAAAGGGACTCCCTGCCGCTTTCACTACAGACGAAATTCGTGAGGAGCTAGCCAAAAAAATGTAAACACAACTACGGTTTACCAGTTTACCAAACTCGACTCTTCTACCAACACACGTATTAAACTACCTGTATTTGTTGTTACAACCGATGCAAACGTCACAATCACCCAGCTGAAGGAAGTGAGAACAATATTATATCACACATTCAAGGTAGAATTCTACAAATCAAATGGCCAGCCTTCACAATGTTTCAAATGCCAACGATTTGGTCACGCTAGCTTACATTGCAAACACCCTCCTAGATGTGTACGCTGTAGCGGACCTCACGACATCAAAAGCTGCGACACTGAGGAAAAAAAGTGTGCGAACTGTCAACAAGACCATGTTGCCAATTTCCGCGGCTGCCCCTCACGCATAAACTTCGTTGCTGCACTGGAAGCCCAATCCAACAAGCTGCCTCAACAGCCCAAACGTCAAACAACATCTGATACCCATCTTGGTCATCAACGCCCCACGAGAGGTGCCTTACGCCCCAGAAGACCTGAAGAAAACCTCACACCTCTATCCATCCGCTCGGATGCTACCATCAGACCGACCACGTCATACGCCCAGGCGACGCTCCCCCAGGACATCCACCAACAAAGCCTCCCTCGCAGTGAACTTCAACCTGGACTAGCCTCTACTTACGCTCAATCCACGAGTTCAACAAACTCCGATTGGGTAATTTCCAATTTTCAAAATGAACTAATAAAAACCAAAGATCTATTCACCGAAGCCAAGCTAGTTTTTCAAGAATTGTCAAACTTAAACTTGTTAAATATAATAAGTAGTCTTAAAGTCATGATCCAAGAATTAAAACTAGCCAGTTCGTCACTGGAAAAAATCCAAATACTTGCAAATTATGCAGAAATATTACTTCCACTTGCCGAATCAAATGAAACCTCTATAGCTAATGTTCGAAATGCATAATTCCAAAGAAATTCGTATCTTAGCTCTTAATATCTCTAGTATCACCGGCCACAAAGACGAACTGATGGCCATTGTAAACAATCACAAAAGCAATATTATCCTACTATCCGAGACTAATTTAAGTTCCACAAAAAAATTCAAACTAGCAAACTTTCAAGTAATGAGACAAGACAAAACTGGACGTACAGGAAGAGGGGTCGCAATTGCCGTCCACGACTCCCTGCACTATGACCCCCTCCCGCACGAAACTCCCTCAGACAGTGAATATGTAGGGATTACTCTTCATATACAAAACAAAAAATTTAATATCTATTCATTCTACAATTCCCCTAACAATTTACTTGACCTCGACCTAATTGACACGTTACTTAGTGACACCACTCCCTCCCTCATTGCTGGGGACTTCAACGCTAAACACCCTATTTGGAGCAATACAGACGCTAATAAATCAGGAAACCTGCTCGCCAAATTCCTTGAAGACAAAAACTCCTATCATCTACTCGCACCATCTGAACCTACACATTACCCAACAAACGGTAACACCCCCAGCACAATTGATCTTCTTATGACGAACGCACCAAAGACTATCAAACAATTTTCAGTCATTCAGGAATCGCCGTCTGACCATTATCCCCTACACATCTCACTGTTTGGGATCCCTGCCTTAAATCCAGGACTTCTCAGAAGAAACTTTAAGAAAGCCGATTGGCCTAATTTCAAAAAATCAATATGTCTTGCGATCGATACAGTAAACCCTAAAATTGACACTATCACCGACATAGAAAACAATATCAACAAACTAACAGATACCATAAATAAAGCGGTCTCACAAAACATTCCGATGGCCAAAACTAACATACAGGCTACCCCTCTTCCTCAAGAGATTCTTGATTTAATTAAACTTAAAAACTATGTAAGAAAACGCTGGCAGAAAACATGAAATTCATTTCTAAAGACTGAGTTAAATGCATTAATTAAAGAAATTCAGCTGAAAATTCTCGAAAACACTAGAAATACATGGGAAAATAAATTATCTAATATAACGTCAAATGATGATACTATTTGGTCCATTGCGAAAAGATTTAATAATAACAATAACTCGTCCAAAATTCCAACGCTCAAAACAGCCAACTCAATTGCCACTTCGGACTCCGACAAAGCCAATACACTCGCCTCGCACTATGCAAAAATACATTCGGATACCCAAGCTCGAGGAAATAAATCAAAAGAGCAGCTAATGAATGCTGCCATCAATAAAACAATAATACTCCCCCCTATATCTATCACTACTCCCAACTCAGCAATTACTTCTCCCTCAGAAATCAGCAAAATAATCAATTCTCTTAAAAAACGATCCGCACCCGGTGCTGACTCCATTCCAAATGTTATTATTAAACATTTACCAAAAAAAGCTGTATTACTAATTACAAAAATTATAAATGCTTGCTCACTCCATCAATATTTTCCTCTAGCTTGGAAGACCGCATCAATTATACCACTACTAAAACCATCAAAACCCCCATCAGAACCGGTGAGTTATAGGCCCATCAGCCTCTTACCATGTTTGGGTAAAATTTTGGAAAAAATAATGTTACTTAGGTTAAATCGCCACATTTATGATCAAAACATACTACCAAACGCCCAGTTTGGTTTTAGAGCTAGTCATTCGACCGTCCATCAATTAC